CAAACAAAAAAATGACAAGAATTAGTGTGGCTACTTTAAAATTGACTTTTAAACGCGCAGATGGCTTAACAACTATCTCGCTAAAAGTCATTGCTTTTGTATGACAAGCAGTAGCACATCCAAAAGTCAAAATATATGTTAGTGCTCAATTTCTGAAGACTAAAATTATACCAGTCACCAAGTTGAGTCTAGCATCGCACTGTAAAATGTAGTAATTTTTGGTAAAATTTATGTAAATAACATATAGATATATTCAATATAGGCCATCGGCAGCCATATTTTACTGCATGCGAAATAAATAAAAAAATTCAACACAGCTTTCCTTTAGAGCAATCGCGTGTCTGCTGATTACATATGTATTGTGTGTATTCTGACCATTGAAATGCAAGCATCGATTGGAGAAGCAAAAATAAGCAAAGTACGTATTCGTAACGAATGTTTAAATCACGCTCAGTTATTTAACAAACGTCTTATGGTAAAATCTTTTCAGATTTCGACGTTCGTTGATGTCATGATCAGCACAAAATAGCCGCTTCCACTTGTGCCTCAAACTACTGGTATGTACCTGTAAAAGCACATTAATTAAAGTGGTTATATCACGAATTTTAGCCCCCCTTTTTTATTAGCTAAATTGAAAGACCTTGTTTCAGTGATTTTAAATCTGCAATTATAATTGAAATTGGATTGGTGAAAGTGATTTTACGGACGTTCAAAGTCACGATTTTCAGCATTTTTTTTGCGAACTTTTTGATCGGTATGCTAATGACTTGTGACGTAGAAAGTTGAACACAAATATCAACATGGCGTATTCTACTAGTAATCTTAATAAGAAACGCGGAGGAAAACGCTGTGTTGCTGGCGGACCTAATGAAATTAGTTGCGCCAATGATTCAAAAACCGAAGGAATGTCGATGCATCTGCTTCCTAAAAAAGAAACAGAGCCGCAAAGACATAGACAATGGGTAAATTTTGTGCGTAAACATAGACCGGGTTTTGAGGCTTCCTCTACCTCGTGTCTGTGTTCTGCGCATTTTGAAGATTCTTGTTTTGACCTTAATTTGAGCGTGTAAGTCAAGCTCAAAAGAAGGATGAAGAAAGATGCTATCCCAACCATTGACGTGGCTGGGATTCCTGAACCATTACAGGACGAAATAACCGATCGAAAGCGAAGACAAGTAAGTTTACGCTTGTTTATGTTAATTTTTCTTTTGTCATATGTAAACTCGATATAAGTTTTGTAGATTATTCGACATACTCTCCATAAGCCATCGCTGAAGGAAACATGTTCTCTCAATGAGGAAGTACCATCTACTAGTGACAGGGGCTGCGGAAGTATCTCAAAAGTGGGGGGGCACTGACTGAAAAGGGCATGTGAGTTTGCAGCTTACTGTTTTAGTATATTACAAATTTGAATTGCTTCATGAATCATGATTAAGTTTCAAAGTCTGCAAAATATTGGTAGACATTCTTCGAATACTGTGCGTATTCTTTACTGCTCGGTGTGCGTGCTAACAAATTGAACTAAGATGACTACATGAACAATTTTATTAAGTAATGCGATCTCATTAAAATTTCCCAAATAATCTAACCCTACGTTCGTTTTTCAGAACAAAGTTCTTAGCTATTAAACGTAAGTCCAGTTCGTCAGTTCTGGCCTTGTTTACATGCATAACAATAAGATTATTGTAGCCTGCTGCCGTCATTGTTCTCCTGAGATGTGTCTTGACAAGCCACTGGCATGAAAAAGATTGTTCTAAAGAGGCTTCGCTCATTGGAGCAAGAAGGTAAATCTGCAAGTGTCGAACAACATTAGACATTGCCATGACAATCTGCGATGAGTTATTTTCTTCGGTTGAGAATATTGATGTTATGGTGTCAATTGATGTCACCTTCTTTACTTCTGTAAGTCGCTGCGAGATAACTCCTTCAAGAAGCTTTAACTCCGTCTTCAGCTGGTCAAAGTCGAGGTGATTTTCGTAAAGGTGTTCAACTTCATCATTCAACTCAAACTTACGCCCGTTTGCTGCATTAATGAGTACGGTTTCGATGTTCATCAATACAGAATATGTTTTTTGATCGAAGCGCTCCTGTAGTGAAGCCAAGCACGCACCAATTACTTAGTTGTTTTACAATTTTCTTCTTCGAGTTTCCTGGGTTTTCTTCAATTCCCTGACCAATATCGCTCCAACATCTCTTCTCGAATCATCAGATAATAAAACTTTCTCAGTCGCCTCTGCGTGAAAATTAGACTGAGAGTGTTTTTTAAGTTTTTCTCCGCACTTCCTCCAGTCAATGAATTCTCCTAGGAGAAAAGCCTTTTCACCATTATGACTGAAAGTAATAAGTTCTTGACGCATCGCTCTTCTACAGAAGTAACAGGCAATGGTGCCTTTTGTCATGCAGTATGTGACCCATTTATATTTCAAAAATATAGAAGACGGCCAAGTTCGTACATTCGACGATCGTCCTGTACTAGTTTGCTTTCTAGACGTGTGCTTTATTTCTTCTAGGGTAGGATGGTAAGGATGTCGGCCTGTACAGCACAAACACTTACAATCGAGTCCTAGCAAACATTCCGTTGACTCAATCTGCATAGGTCCTACCAATAGCGCGGTAGTCGTAGAACTTGGCAAATAAGCATACGTTAGGTTTTGAGAAGGTGTGTGAACTGGCTTGGTCGGTGGCACGACTAGTATCTCTGAAGACGATGTAGAGTCAGAATCGCCGAATTTTGGTTTGGAATGAGAATGAGGAGATAAACACGTTGATGGAGTTCCTGCAGCTCACGGCAGTGTCAAATTAGACCTAGAGTCGATGTTTTGGTCAACAACGTTCTCTGCTGGAGCACTACTAAAAAAACTCGTCAGTTTTCGCATCCTTTTAGCTCTTTCTACAAGCTCTTTTTCCTTTTCTCGTTTTCGCCTAGCAGCTCTAGGCATGATGATTTTGATTAGAAGTGATTTAAACCGCAAAATTTTCAATTATTATGTTTATGAATTGTCAACAGTTTTGTAGGACCAATGGCCTGAAAGACAATACCACGGGAGCAATGCGTTGCCGTAGAATTTATAGTCTCATGTGGATCATAAATTGCGACTTCTCATTGGTTAATTAAGTTACTGGGCGGACGTCTGCGAAGACAACCCTAATCGACAAACGCGATTTTTGATCTATCTGGGTAATCAAGATCAAAAGCTAAGCTATAGCTGATTTCGCATGATGCCGACAGACTATGTTCTACTCTCGGGGCTACTTGTATCTAAGAAAAACTTCTTCTGTCCAATTTTGCCTAAAACAAGGGCATTTCTATACCATGAAAAAGGGCACTTTCATTCATAAAAGAAGGGCACATTTTTCCCTGTTGCAAAAAGTGGGGGGGCACTTGCCCCCAATGCCCCCTCGGTTCCGCGGCCTCTGACTAGTGATGAAGCTGAGCATGTTTAAGTATGCACTGGGGAAGCAAACGATTCGCCATTTGAACGGCTTGCTATTTTCCATTTTTACATTTATGCTATGATTCAATTCCATATATTTTTTCTTTTGTCTTTTTTCCCAGACTGACATTGAAGAAAAGATATTCTTTCATTTAATTCTTTCAGCTTAACCTCTCAGTAGTTGCACCAATTTGTTTTTATTGTTTACTCTTGTTTCAAACCATTAAACTGCATGTCAACTTATATAGTGCATCCATGTATCTCCTATTTGGTTTTCATCTAGGCATATTTCCCGACCATTCCAAACTCAGCAAAGAAGGTCAACAGTCTCTACAGTGCACAAGTTAGAAGACTATTCCATCATCGCCCCTCTGATGGTATGTAACCTGTTGTGTTACCACTTGGATATGCTTTCCGAATAAAGTGGTAAACACAAGCAGGTAAAGGCCGAGTATTCTCCCATCCCATAGACCCACAAAACCATCGCATCAACCATCTGTATGCCACAGCTCTCAAGTACCTGAAGTAAATAAAAAGGTTGCACTAATTATTGTTGATGAAACAATGTTGATTATAACATTGTTTCTCATACAATTTATAATCTTACATATTTAATGATTGTGATGCTTGGCGGCGATAAGCACGTCCATTCCTATCTCTAAATAGTGGCCCGACGTTTTCAAGGACAGCCTCATGAACTAAACGCCCAAATTTGGCATGCTGTGTTATGCATGATATTTTCTCAATGCTGCCATCGAATGTCATTTTCTGCAAAGCTGGTCCAATTTCCTTACAGCATCTGTACTCTAATGTGCCTTCTAACAAATCGGTATGACAGCATTGACAATTACACCTGAAACGTGGGAGCATTCTGGTTTATAAAGTAACTTTATGTATATTACAAACAGGAGAAAACAACAACTTACCATTCACCAAGTGGAATTACGCCATCACTTCGTTGTTCTAATGTCGCAGGGAGAATTCCATCGGGATCATCTGGAGTATGCACATCATCACCATCTCCTGCTAGCGGCTCATCGTCATATGCGAAGTCGTTTAAATGTTCGACATAACCCACGGATACCGAGCTCGAATCAGATACGCATTCAGACATCGAATTCGAATTATCTGAGCACTGATTTGAGGCCATACTTTGCGGACAACTTGTTTTTTAATATTTTATTGAAAATACTGTCATTATTTGTTTTTAAGACAAGAAAAACGACAACAAAATCACCTTCTATAATATAATATTATATTGACGGAAACAGACGTGTTCAACTATCTACGTCACAAGTATCAATATGGCGTCGTAAAAAATTCGCAAATAGTACCCGACTTTGGAGGCAAAATTAAGCAACTTATATTTATCTGTTTAAGTCCAGCGACATGTCATAGTTCTTCAAATAATCCAAATTTTCAATTAAGCTCATAAAAAAGGGGGGCTAAAATTCGTGATATAACCACTTTAAGCCAAATACGTAATTGCTAATATCTGCCGAAAACCAAATTCAATTCTCTAACAATTATTGCAATAACGTATTTTCATTTACTTTCGGTATACATAAATAACATTTTCAGAAAAAAATCTCTCCATGGATATTCCAATTGTAACCGTTGTTAACACAATTAAATTCTTCAAAATCAACAAAAACATACTGTGGAAGACAAAAATGAGGACTTGTGCTGATGAACTGTAAGTGTTGATTTGTAATTGTAAAAAATATATACTAAAGCATTATAAACCTGTAAGAATACATTGAGAATACTAAATCATCTATGAATAACTGCATTTCTATTTAGCTACAAGTGACGTGTTAAGAAAGCGGAAACGGGCAAGAGCGTAGTAACTAAAATCTGCCAAAAATCACGTTCAATTCTCTATTAATCGTCGAAGAAAAGTAACTTCATATAAGTTCAGAATGCAAGAGGAACATTTTCAGAAAAATTGAAATTGTTAATCGATATTCTGATCGTGTCAACAACGTAAAAAAATGCGATAGAAAGAAAAATACTGTGGTAAATAATAGCCGATTTTTAATTATAAGACAATAAAGTAAAGTATTATCTAGTACGATAAAAATTAATACCCAACATAAAGTTCTGATTAGAGCCATAGAAATAGACCAAAAAAAAACGAATTGTAAAGTTAAATTTATTGTGACGTTTCGTCTTTACTCAAGACATCTTCAGACAAATAATAAATAGGATGTTAAGACAAGATATTATATTTACAAAAAGGTGTTAAATTACTACAAAAGGAAGCGGTGTCGAATGGATACATGATAAGGAGGTTAGGAAGTAAAATAAAGAGAAATTAAAAGAGGTTAAGTGGAATGGAGTTTCCTTGCACAATAAGTGAAGGCTTGTATTTATTGCAAGTTTCCCACCCTGCATCATCAAGCATTCTTGCTCACATTAACGCAACTGGACACACCCCCAACTTAGACGACTTTAAAATAATCTCCTCTTCCAACGATACTTATTAACTCTCCATTCATGAAAGCCTTCTAATCAATAAATACAAGCCTTCACTTATTGTGCAAGGAAACTCCATTCCACTTAACCTCTTTTAATTTCTCTTTATTTTACTTCCTAACCTCCTTATCATGTATCCATTCGACACCGCTTCCTTTTGTAGTAATTTAACACCTTTTTGTAAATATAATATCTTGTCTTAACATCCTATTTATTATTTGTCTGAAGATGTCTTGAGTAAAGACGAAACGTCACAATAAATTTAACTTTACAATTCGTTTTTTTTTGGTCTATTTCTATGGCTCTAATCAGAACTTTATGTTGGGCATTAATTTTTATCACACGAATTCGATTTCCGCTCGGCAAGTCTCTCGCTACAATTTTAGATTATCTAGTAAGTCTGTAAAAATACAATATAAATAATGCACATGTCTAATTATACCGTGACGTAAAGGTCCTGGATTAAAGTAATATTTGGTCACGACTACTCCAAAAACAAGTCACTTACTTCACTAGATTCACTAAATTTTGAAAAAATTAAAGCGATGAGCATCTAGAACAAATTTAAAAAAAAATAACCAGCACTGTTACGTCACTGCATAATCAATTTGGTACTAACAACCAAACAGAGTTTACTACTTTTAGACAATTTAGTAAAAATGGAATTGTATTAATAATTTTTTGTTCACTCTCTAGATTTTGGATAAATTTAAAAACAATCTACTGTGTAGTTTTTTATTTACAGGCCTTTGTTTTGCAATGACTTGAAATTCTCAACCTAATTATATACGATCATATTACGCGCATTCGTGTCATCCGACTTTGTCGATGATTTTCTGCAACTTATTTTTTTGTGCCACCTCCAGATTTTCGATATGTTATAGACAATAAGAATATCTACAACATGGCCAAGTTTAAAAAATTCTACCGGGTAGTTTTTTAGCTATAGAGCTGTTTGTCGAATGTGGTGCTAGTTTCACAGTTAATACCAGAGTACATTCTCAAGGAATATTATTCCTTTTATTTTTTTTGTGCCACCTCCAGATTTTGGATATGTTATAGACAATAGGAATATCTACAATATGGCCAAGTTTAAAAAAATTCTACCGTGTAGTTTTTTATTTACAGGCCTTTGCTTAGCAATGACATAAAATTCTGAACGTAATTATATAAGATCATATTACGCGCATTCGTGTCATCGGAGTTTGTCGATGATTTTCTATCATTTATTTTTTTGTGCCACCTCCAGATTTTGGATATGGTATAGAAAATACGAAAATCTACAATATAACCAAGTTTAAAAAAATTCTACAGTGTAGTTTTTTATTTATAGGCCTTTGTTTGAAAAATTACATGGATATAGGAAGTTAATTATATAAGATTATATTACGCGCATTCGTGTCATCCGATTTGTCGATGATTTTCTACAACTTAGTTTTTTGTGCCACCTCCAGATTTTGGATATATTTTAGACAATATAATTATCTATATTCTGGCCAAGTTTAAAAAAATTCTACAGTGTAGTTTGTTATTTACAGGCCTTTGTTTAGCATTGACTTGAAATTCTGAACGTAATTATATAAGATCATATTACGCGCATTCGTGTCATCCGATTTGTCGATGATTTTCTACAACTTATTTTCTTGTGCCACCTCCAGATTTTGGATATTTTATAGACAATATAATTATCTATATTCTGGCTAAGTTTAAAAAAATTCTACCGTGTAGTTTTTTATTTACAGGCCTTTGTTTCAAAAATTACATGGATATAGGAAGTTAATTATATAAGATTATATTACGCGCATCCGTGTCATCCGATTTTGTCGATTATTTTCTACAACTTATTTTTTTGTGCCACCTCCAGATTTTGGATATGTTATAGACAATACAAATGTCTACAAAACAGCCAAGTTTAAAAAATTCTACATTGTAGTTTTTTATTTATTGGCCTTTGTTTGAAAAATTACATGGATATAGGAAGTTAATTATATAAGATTATATTACGCGCATCCGTGTCATCCGACTTTGTCGATGATTTTCTACAACCTATTTTTTTGTGCCACCTCCAGATTTTGGATATGTTATAGAGAATAAGAATATCTACAATATAGCTAATTTTAAAAAAATTCTACCTTGTAGTTTTTTATTTATAGGCCTTTGTTTGAAAAATTACATGGGTATAGGAAGTTAATTATATAAGATTATATTAAGTGTCACCCGACTTTGTCGATGATTTTCTACAACTTATTTTTTTGTGCCACCTTCAGATTTTGGATATATTTTATACAATATAATTATCTATATTCTGGTCAAGTTAAAAAAATTCTACCGTGTAGTTTTAAATGATAGGCTAATTAAGAGGAATGGAAAGCACACTGTAATATAAATCTTAGTGTTTTCTTCAATTTCTTTACTTTTATACATTTTTTGTGATGGTTAAGGACTTTAAAATAGTAATAAACAGTTAAGAATTGTTTTTTACTTTTGTATTTGATGGAAAACGTGTTTTAAAGACGATTTTTCGATTTATCATTTTGAATGATAAATTTTAGTTGAATGTGGTGATGATTGTTGTGATGAATGTTGTGTTCAATGTGGTGCCCAATGTGGTGCCAATTTCACGGTAGTTTTTTGACCACGGGGTCCAGGCCCCCTTTCCCTTCCAGGTCTTATTGAACTCAATGGTGGCAATACATGCCAGAATCGTTTGTGAGAAACTTCTATTTGAAAGTGCGATATTTTACCCTAAATTATCATTCATGTGCATTTTAAACGAAATGACTAACTTTCGGGCTCGTAATTTATCTGACAGTACTTAGCGTCACTTGGGGTGCCCGGGTTGTGTTGTGTTTATGTCGAATTCTGGCGGGAATATTGGAGGGAATATTTGGCAATACGAAAGAGAAAGAACAAGAATTATTGTCATCTTAATCCTTCTTTATTCTACTTACGGCTCGTGGTTTGGGATTGAATACTATGAAAAGGAAATCAAAACTTCATAAATCTTTGAAAGGGTAGGTATAATTTTACCAATCGTATACTATATATCTTCTCATGACACTGTCGAGATGAAAGTTCACTGAGCGAGTGAGAGTAGGAGTAGAATGTCTTTTGCTTGTAAGGAACTTTGATATCGATAAATCGAGTAAATTTTATCTTTTTCAAAATAGCAATATGATATTATACAAAGTTAAACTTGCTGTGTCATAATGAATATTGTTATTAAGTTCAAAATGCTTCTTTAAGTCTTCTAATTATGTTTACTCTTTAATTTGCAGTTTCCATTGTAAAAATTGAAGGAAGCTATTCAAAATAAATTTGTATTATTATTCAAATATCAAATAATACTTGATAAATGTTTAATGTCCGTCTGTCTACCTAGAAAACTGTCATTTATTGAAGTAAACAGAATATTAACATGAATATTGCTCTTAATCATCAATCCTGAATATTCCAACTGTGTTAAGTTAAATAATTTGTGATGTAATGTTGTTTAGATGAAACAGCAGTTATGGGTAAAAACTTGCATTTTACTACACGTGCAAATCAGCTGTGATTAAATAATTGATTTAGCTTGTACCAGTTTGCACAGGCTAAAGGAAATATAGCAATAGACCAATCAGAATAGATGCCTAGTCAATTTACATAGAAATGACAATAAATTAATCTCTCTATTATATGACTTAAAATTCTGGTAAATTACATCCTTAAAATGATGCTTTACAAGAATGATTGCAGATATTCTTTTGTCGGATTCAAAATTAATTTCCACATTAAAGTATAGTGTTTCCATGATGCCTTTATTGTAAATTGAATCTAGATAAAAGCTAAAGTCTGCTTAAATTTGCCCTGCTCAGCGCATGTGTTTTATTGTTGTTATTTCATAGTTAATATTCTATAGTTGCATTACCTCCTTTTTTTTCATCCCAAGTAATTTTTTTATATTACTGTTATAAAAAGAGTTTCTCTTATGATAGATGAATATTTATTGTATTTAAGATCCTTTTCTATACCTTATCACTTAACGAGTTAGAGTCTCCAATCAAACAGTATTGTCAAAAATACCAATAAATAAAGTCATGTGTTAAAACTTTGCCATCCGATTTTCATTTTATTTTCATTGAAATTATGTAATTAATTAAGTGTTGTAAATATTTGATTAGCTTATGATTTTCATCATTTATGTGATCCACTTCCGTAATTATAAAAAATCAGTAAAAGACAAGCCGGTTTGTAGTACAAAAAGCAACCATTTAAATAATTTTTTGAAATCGGGACACAATGGCAGACACTTTATGAAATATTGTGTGTGTGGGGAATCATCCTCTAGGCATGAGATTTCTAGAGAGATACCTGGGCATGACTAAAGGAATACTTCTAAACTTTGATCTCCACAACTTTAATTTAAGGATTCCTACCTATCATATAACTCAGCACTCACAAGAACGTTTAATGAGTCTCCTGTACGGGTACAGTTTAATTTAAAGTTTATTAATTTATTTTATTAGTGAACATCATAATTATGTTACGTGTAGGTGTGATTTGAGCTAGGGTGGCGAAACATTGATAATTGGGAGGGGGTATATTATTCATGTATGCATGTTTTACTTTATTAGTTTCTATTGAAATCAATTGTGTTTACGAATATAACATATAAATATATGAATATAGCTCCCCCCTTAATTATCAACGCTCCGCCGCCACTGGATTTGATGGATTTGGCCATTTTTCCATACTTTGAACTGAATGTTGAATAATTTTTGCTTTGTATTTTAGGACACCTCCAATCACCAAGTTCTTTCGGAGAAACCCAGGTAATCCCTCGTATACAATTTTCGTGTACAATTTTTCTATAGTTTATTGCATACCCTGCTCATGAAACCTTTTTCTGTATCTGCTGTCCAGTATAGTCTAAAGCATTTTTACACTATACCGAATTCCAATGTTGCAGATAAAATTTTCTTTTTATTAAAAGGCAGTGAAATTATTCAACGTCAGAAACACAATCATAGAGACTAAATCTATGAATGCAATAAGCTTTTACTCCAAACGGTTATCCCTTTTAAAGGAAATGAAGATTTCGTGATGAGCGAATCCGGTATAGTGTAGACGCAACCTAAATTGGACAACTAAAATTTAGGCAGCAGGAACTTTCATTAAAAAACTGAGCACTATACAAATACCGGACAACTATATACTAGTGTCTTTTGATGTGAAATCACTGTTCACCAGTATTCCACTTAAAGCCCTCATTACAAACACCACGTACGTACTGCCATTACCGACAGAAGACATTATGGAGCTACTCGAGAAACAATTACATGGAACAGCAATGGGCTCACCCGTTTCTGTTGTAGTTGCTGAAATTGAAAATCTATGGATGAACGGGCGCTCACGACTTACAAACATGCACTACCTTTTTGGTTCCGCTACGTAGATGACACAATCACAGCACTACATGCAGACGAGATTGATGACTTTCACACTCACATCAACAAACAGAACAGCCACATACAATTTACCAAAGATGTCGAAGAAAACGGAACTCTTCCTTTTCTCGACTGTTTGGTAAAACATGACAATCAAAAACTACGAACAACAGTTTATCGCAAGCCAACACATACTGACCGACTACTAGACCAATCATCTTACAACCCTACATCACACAAAGCCACCACAATCAGAACATTAACAAGACGTACACAAATCATATGTGATTCACCGGACGCTGTTCACAATGAAATCAACTATCTCAAACGTGTCTTTGACAAAAACAACTACAACTCTGACTTTATCAAACGCAACACTTACAAACCCAACGAACCCAACGAAGCGAACAACTCAGTGACAACAACAACGATACCTTACATCAAAGGTACGTCTGAGACTATCTCGCGTATCTTACGACCATACAACATACGTGTCGCAAATAAAGCAATCACAACGTTACGACAAGTACTAACGAACATAAAGGACATAGAACAACCCAACGAAAGACAATGTGCAGTTTACAAAATAAACTGCTCAAACTGCCACGCCTCTTACCTGGGGAAACTGTCAGGAGCTTAAACATAAGACTTACTGAACACAAACGAGCTACTAAGAAACAAGACAAAACTAATCACATTGCTGAACATCACCGAATCACAAAGCACAACATTGACTGGGACTAGGCAAAAGGCAGTACTTTTAGTAAGAATTCCGACTAAGTTGATAATTCAAGATATTTATTTACGGCTTTGAGTTTATTGGTTTCAGTTAAATTATCATTGGAGCATCGATTTTTGAGCACCACCATTTTACTCGTTTAACAGGTCCTCCCCCCTGCCCTATATTTTGCCAAGTGCCTGTCTCTGTTTATGTACAGGCATAAACGATGTTTACAATTTATTTTGACGTTTCATTTTTATGTAATCTGTCTTTGTGATAGATGAAGTATTGTTATAGGTTTAGAGCTCGAACGTTGCTCATTGCAATGGTTTGAACAGGTTTGAACGGAGTAAAATTATATGTATGTGCTGTTTACGGGCTACGACATCCGGATGGGTAAATATTTTCCCGATGTTTTAAAAAGAGCGTGAGGCCCCAGACAGAAGCTTGTTTTTGAGATCGAGGGAAATATTTACCATCCTGACCGAGCCTAACGGTAAATTTTGCGTTTTGTGTAACTTGCCTGTAACAAACATAATTGCCTTTTACTAAATTGTGCAGTCAAATTAACAATGGCGGCAAAGAAAACAATAAAAACTTTGCTAATGATTTGCTTTGAAAAACTCGAAATTCTCTTAAAATAAATTATTGTACAATCAAAAGTTCGCTGATAATTTCTATTGCCAAACAAAACAAAACAGAACAAAGCAATATAAAACAAAACAAAAGAAAACAATAGAAGAAACTCTTTGCTCAAGTACTCAGCTTAAGGTTACGGCCTGTGGTGAGATATCGTAAAATTCCGTGCGCTGCTACAGCCAATTAGATCTCAGGAAAAGTTAGGATCCCGCCCTTTTCTGTTTAGTGAATAAAAAATTTATTATAATTTTTTTTGTAATCAAAGGAAAAGAATTGAATGCTGTTGTTTCAATTCCCGATATTTTTCACTCTGATTTACCCATGAAATCAGTTCATCCAAAGAAAAGTATGGACAGTGATACAAAAATGCCCAGAAATTATCATGCTTCCAGTGGACAAGACAATCAGAACGATACAAGTATCCATAGTAGTTTAAGAAGATCAAATCAAGTGAAAAAACGTTTATTTCATGTGTCAAATTCTGAAAGCACAAACACGATATGTTTGAAGGGAAATAAGTCTAATGAAGATACTTTTCAAGACGATTTAGAAAACATTATTACTCAAAGAAGGAAGACTTTGTCGACGATTTCTCGTCCGGAAAAAAATAATAACTTCTTCATGAACGATAAATGTAGATCGAAAAGTTTTGCCGAAGATGGTCAGTCTCAAAATGAGACTATACATACAGATGAATCGGATGCTACTGACAATAGTAATGATCATGTATCTGATTGTTCTAATGATGAAAGGGAGAAAATAACTAGGAATTATAAGGATGGTCAATCTCTAAATGAAAATATACATACAGATGAATCGGGTGTTACTGCAATTAATATTGCTCATGTATCTGGTTCTTCCAATAATGAAAAGAAAAAGATAACTAGAAAGGAGGTGGATAGTCAATCTTTAAGCGAAAGTATGTATACTGTGGAATCGGATGTTTCTGAAATTAATAATGATCATGTATTTGGTTCTTCCAATAATGAAAAGGAGAAGATAATTAGAAATGACAAGGATACAAAAACACACAACGATAAAAAGGAGAACGACAACAAGCGTGACACTCAAAATTTGTGTGGAAATTTAAATTCAAGCTCATCTGACTCTGATGATAATTCTCATCAAAACATCCATTCAACTGACCCAACGAATAAAAGTAACATTAATCATATAAAGATGGAATGCTCGAAAGGAGAGGAAGATAAAGTGGTCGAAGACGTAACGCAAGGTAACGAATATTCTTATTCTGAAAATTAAAGAATTTGATTTGGTTAAACTTATCAAGAAATTCTTTTCCTCCTAATTATATGATCATCTTGAAATATTCACTCTGAAGACATCAAATAATTTCACTATTTTTTCTCTGGGAACAGTGGACATTCTCGGGTTTTTCTTGTAATTTTTTTAGTCCGGTAGGCAAAGGGAATTTTACTCACCTTCTCGTGGGACTTTTTGTTATGTTGATAATATTGTAGTTTCGATGATTCTAATTACGAACTCAAGTGTTGTTTTGGTAACTTTTTCTTCGCTGACAGTGTGTGTAAACCTTCATTTTATTTACCTTTCGGTACAAAGCAAATGGCGACGAAAAAAAGAGCTCGAAAAATTTTGACCGGGGCATGATTGACATCCAGGATACATGGTGTACTTTGATTACTCTAGCAACTGTTCAACTATTACTATAAACAAAGCGAATTGTTCCAAACACGGAAAATTTATATAAACCACACAAAGTAAGTTTTATGGATACAAAGAGGGCTTCTGTAATATATTTCCATGAATCTTTAATTCAATCAAATAACTTAGAGTCCAGCAATTATCCACAAGCAAAATGGTAACATTAATGCCGCGAAGCCTGTTGCTATATTCTCAACATACACCTTCGTGTACTGGCTATATATGTTAAGCAGTGCACTTCATGATAATATTACTAAGTGAAGATCTATGACTGCATAAGCGAAAATATCAATTTATTTTAAGCGTTCCTCGCATATCCTCGCCGTCTGTTTGCGTGTTTACATTTTCGAAAGTGTTTGGATCTGCTCAGGGAGCTTGCACTTGTATGTTTTGGTGTGACGTCATTATCATATTGCGTACTTAATAATGTGTCAACTAAGGTGCATTTCGCGCTCTTGTTAATGTATACATCGTTACTTTTTGAGCTTGCGGCACACTTAATTCAATTGCGTCAACACGCCGTCTAATTTATCTGAAAATTTCGCAAAAAACATTGATTAAAAACTCTATTTTACATTAAACATTATCGCTTGTTCAAGTTGCATGTACTACAATAACAAAACCCGCTATTTTCTCGACCCTTAAAATGGCCGCCACGTTGTGATTAACGCGCAGTGCATCTTGGTTGACACCCATTCTTTAACAATAAACATGTCAACACGCAAAAAAATCAAATGTCCTGAATAGGTTATTGGTACAATAATGCTGTAAAATGTTTTCTTCCAAGCTATTATTGAAAAAATAGTTTAACTCATACATTCTACTATACACATTATAAATGATCTGGGATGTTCTATGTGAACTCTGCGCATGTCAACTGTATTAAATATAAATGACTTGTTAACTCACTCTTCCCTCTCTACAACATTACCTTACACATTATAAATGATCTGGGGCTGTCATGTTGACTCACTCTCCCCTCTCTACAACTTTATCATACACATTTAGGTTATGAATTGGACAGCGGAAAGGAAGAATGCAGGAATGATGATGACAGCTCAAGTGACGATGAACTTTTAAAACCGGCCAGTTTTCTTCGCAATATAAAATTTGAGCCAGACGTGAAAACTCCAGCAAAGTCAACCACTCCAATTTCAGGTAAATCGTGCGTTTCTATTTATTTATTTGCAAGATTGTGTTGATATTTCTGAAGCAAACTGATTTCGTGGTTTGAGACAACATCTTTACAACATATCAAAAGGAGTAATCAGCGTTTGGTAGTAAATAATGCCGTAAAGGTTCCCGCATTTGAATGGACTGATCCACCCACATGGGAAATAAGGGAGAGTCTAGAAAAGTGCATAAAACACGAGCTGAAGACGAGTGTTTTGCTCCGCTTTCTTAACTTGATCAACATTCCCAAATGTTTGAATCAGGCCATCTAAACACTTATCATAACGTAATATTGTACTTTATTTAAACACGCAAAAATATCAAAGCCAAATTTTTCCAAGCGATCCAAAACTGTAAAAGTTAGAAGTCAAAAAACACTATAGCGTGGAAATACCTGTTTTTTTTTCGGATACCATTCGGAAGAAAATCTTAAAACCTCTTTGCTTCTTTTTCCAGGTAGTCCGCTCACCCCAGTCAGTCCATACATCGCCCTATCTAAACAAGTTGCGGTGACGTCGAAGTATTCAGTCCATAAACTACTTCGGGAGAAACCAAAGTTAGCCCAGAAACAAAAAGATATTGCCAAAATGCAGCTGGATATGCAACACCATATTGAAATGTGTAAGTCTGAAACAAGTGTAAATTTTTATATACTAACTATATAAATTTGAGCAATTTCATTGGTCGAGAGCTATGATCTATAGGAGGACATACGCACGGAATTGACGTCAAAGAAATTTCTTGTTGAATTACAAATGAACGGAGAAATTATTTCCGTATTTGCCCGAAATTGTCCGTGAATGGACAGTTGAAGACATTAAGTAGGAAGGCGTAGTTGAAGCAGTTGACGTATTTAAGCAAAAGGAAAAGAAAAAACCCGTTTTTCAAACGTTTATTTGTACTACGTCTTCGATAACATAATTTCAACAAAATTAATCAGCCATTGCTTGTGTATTTTGTTAGCCAATCACATCCTAGCACGTGACTTAAGCTAGCTAATAGCATTTTTACTTGGTAATCTCGACGAGCATCTCGTCCCGCTTGACCGGGATCATATAAACAAACCCCTAGGCCTGGTTCAAACTTGTATCATAAGCATGAACAACAAAACGCTGCTTTAGAGGTTTACAAAGACAAAGAAATCGAGAGTTTTATTGAAATCGTTTGCTCATCTATTGTTTGCGCTTATGTCAATGGTTGTGTTAAATGCTTCGTCGATTGTCTTCGTTTAATCTTTTGTCTCAGTCTGTGCTTATGCATGTTTCACTCGTGTGAAGCAGGGGCTGGTTGCACGGAGACTGGATAGCGTTATCCAATGGATAGCAAATTTTTTCGGACGTTCATAAAACCTCTTATAAGAGAAAAATGCACGATTTGAACTGTGCAATCACTGAAATAAAATATTGTTTCATGATTACAAAATTTCTTTTTCGTGAGAAAAATATAAGCACCTTTTCTACAAGTTTGAAAATTTTCGCTATCCAATGGATAGCGCTATCCAGGTTTCGTGCAACTGGCCCCAGGTCTTAAGCCCTTTTCAAACAACATAAACTAACCTGTGTTTAACCCAGGTTTAATCTAGGTTTATTTTTTGCGTGTAAACACTACGATCCCAAGGTTTAACATTTAAGCCAGATTAAACCTGGGTTAGTGGTGTTTACACGCAAAAAATTAACCTCGGTTAAACCCGGGATAATTTTAATCTGGGTTGAATCCAGTTTAGTTTATGTCGTGTTAAAAGGGCTTTAAGCAAATCAACTATTGCTAATGAAGTTGGCCTTTCTATCTGTATTATATAAATGTTAGTTAGTCCCCCACGCTTCATATGTACAATTAACGATTGATGTGCGTTGGTTCGAAATTTTGTTGGCAATATTTGCATATGACGACCTCTAGGAAGCGCTTCTTTCCGTTTTCTATTCACCTATTCGATATCGAAATGTGTAGCTTTTTAAGGTACAACTTACAGAAGCACGAACCATATAGGAATGTTCTAATTAAACCTGATCGACCCTACCACATCTAATGGATCATTTTTTAAGGCCTCTTGCAACATTGCATTTTTACACTAGCGGAATACATTTAAAACAAAATATAAAGATAGAGGAGGGATTTAATCTTATTATTTCATTGAAACCTGCTCAAATGTGTCCCGGCTTATTTTGCTAAAATACTATATCATTGTGTGTTTATATATCGTACAGTAACCTTAAGAACATGTCGTATCTTATTGTTATTCAGTGCCCTAAACAACATGTCGTATCTTGTATGTTTTAGGTAAAAATGTGAACCTTGAGAAGGATTTCTTAAATGACGACCTCGGTAAGTGCTATAGCAATACTGCTTTGTTCTGCTTCTTTCGTCTATTTCTTCTCGGTTCCGTTTTCTTTAAATTGTTGCATTTTGTATGAAATCATTACTTCGGATCTTGTTCATCGTGTCTCGGACCTTGCCCTTAAAGCTTTAGAAATTTCTTTTTAAAATTGCTTCTGACTGGTAAGTCAAACAAAGTATTAATATAAGAGCCAATCAAAATTAAATAAAACATTTCAAAGCTGGAAAAGTGACGTTATTATGAACAAGTCAATTACAATGGCTGGCGTAAGTATTAATAGATTTCCTTTGTGAACTGAGTCAACAGCTCATCGTTTGCAACTCGTTTCTGGACAAAAATATGAACACTGGTAAAAGCAGATACCTTGTAGCTGCTGTTTGTAGTTGACCAATCTAAATCGACATTATTTACATATTGAATAATAATAATATAAAACAAAATCCGAAGAAGCAAGACATATTGAGATTGCAAAATATGAATCAAAACAAGACGAGAAGTAAACTGTAAATTTTCGACTTTATTTCAAAGTCATCCTCAGACAGAATAATATTTAAAACCATACATACACTTATATATTTACAACGCATGAAATAAGTAAACGGAAGTAAGCAATAGAAATTAAATTGTGTGATATTTCCAAAGGCAGAGGTTGAAGAGGTGTAGTATTTCAAAAGGTTGAATTGAAACTGCCGACCCGACTGGTAGAATGAATGTTATAATTTAAGAAAAGAGTTGTAATTCTTTGCTAGCCTTAAGTCCCGTAGTGAGATACGCGTCCGGACGCTCTGCACAACGAAAATAAATATCTCAAACTTGCAATGAAACAATCGAAACGAACAACTCAGTGACAACAGCAACGATACCTTACATCAAAGGTACGTCTGAGACTATCTCGCGTATCTTACGACAATACAACATACGTGTCGCACATAAACCAATCACAACGTTACGACAAGTAACGAACATCAAGGACAAAGAACAACCCAACGAACGACAAGGTGCAGTTTACAAAATAAACTGCTCCGACTGTCGCGCTTCCTATATCCGGAAGACGGGCAGGAACTTAAACATAAACTGCTCCGACTGTCGCGCTTCCTATATCCGGGAGACGGGCAGGAACTGAAACATAAGACATACTGAACATACACAAACGAGCTACAAAGAAACAAGATAAACCAATCACATTGCCGAACATAACCGAATCACAAAGCACAACATTAACTCAGGCTCGGCAAAATGTATTATTTACAGTACTGACTATAGACAATGGCTTACATTGGAAAGCTGGTTTACCAACTTAGAACAAAACTCCCTAGATAGATCACAACAATTACCGGCACCTTACAAACGACTCGTTCACAATACAAACAAACAAGCAACTAGCACATTACTTTAGACTAATCCACGATAACAATACACAATCGAAACCCACACACCCACACGTTTCCTGTACACACAGATAACAAATAACCTGACGTTTACTCCTCACTTGACTCCGAAGATGACTACCGCTAAGGTTGTCGAAACATCAGTCAACATCAACACTAACAGTTCTTCTCAGGACTCTACTAACCTGGACGATCCTCATCAGCAAACATATGTAAACAATGTCGGTTTTGATTGGCCAACTACCTGCAAATAATTCTTGATATCTGTAAGTGTGACGTGTTATGAACAAATAATAATTTCCACAATTGTTGACGCCATGAAAAGCAGGTTTTGAAAAAAATCAAATAATAGCGAGTTATGACACAGTTTCTAAAAACGATATGCGAAAGCTTTTGAGTAAAGATGGTGCCGAAAACACTAAAGAAGCGATGAAGCTGGTTTTGAACATATTTACGCATATTTAAACGTGAGGAACTTGAAAAAAACTTTTTGACAAGAACAAATTAACGAAGTTTTGAAAATGTTTTGCTTTGATCAGTTTTAACAAAATTTCAGTTAGGCGAAGTGAATAATAAAACAAATCTTCGCTTCGGTAGATAACATTTATACTTCCGTCTGAACACATCTTGTTATCATGCTAAACGTCATCCAATAATTGTTTAGTATAAGTATCAGGCTTCTTTGCATAATTCTCGAGAATGTGTACTACTTAAGGACTTTGGAAGTCATTGGTAATGGTCATACATATCATTTAACCTTTGCATTCATGAGTACTTTCTTTTTGATTTAGATGATGATAAAGATCTGTTGCCGAAACATCAAAAAGAACTTGAGCAATATCAGACCATCGATAATGGATTTTCTAACGAATCAGACGAATATTTTGATATGTTCCCAAGAGTCTCTGGATTAACTAAAGTGAGCAACTTTTTAAAAAGTAGCTCTTTACTTGGTGAGGTCTCTTTGGATTTTGAGCGAAGCAAATTAAAATGGACATGGTTGCTTAGAACCGTTTCAAACGTCGAGCTTTACGTGTGCCGAATGCATTAAAGACGAAAGATAATGATAATGATAAGAGACAAAAGATAATGTGATGAAAATCCATGCATGCGGCACATGTAAAGTTCGACGTTTGAAAAGGGCCTTAATCATAAATTGACCATTGTGATTGTGGTCAAATGTGTGCGCTCGTACATGATGAGTTAACTGCAGGTCGTTTGGGAAACATAAAAAGAACATCTAAAATCATTCCCGGTGGAACAGCGCGCTTTGATTGGCTCAGAAACATTTTTGGCTCTCAATTACTTTCCCGTAATAGATTGATTGTACAAATGAATGTGAACAAATGTCGTAAAGCCAACGGCAAATGTTTTGTGTGACACGAAAAGCAAGAAAAAACCATGTACGAATTTGAGTCCGATGAAAAACACTTCAAAGCGAGCTATATTTTCCAGACGATACAATTTTAGACGATCTATTTTTACTGACGAAATCTGGTCGAGTAAAAGTCGACCTTTGCAAAAGAAAAGTTTCCTAGAGAAAAGTTTCCTTTCCGGTCAATTGATGCCATGTAATTAACCATTTTATTAACCTTGCTTACTAGGTCCTTACCGAGAAATATCGGACTACTGTTGTTTTTTTCTGTACAAACATCGCTTAAAGTAGGGGTGGGCAACATACGGCCCGCGGGCTGGGTCCGGCCCCTGTAGGGATTTTGACTTGCCCGCCGACTGTATCCGCCTATATCTGTGATTAAGATATTGAATATTATTCATGTAATAATCCGGCCCACCAATAACTTCATTTTCCTAAATCTGGCCCGCCGACTGGAGAAGTTGCCCACCCTTCCTTAAAGGCTCAAATAGTACAAAATCATCTTCGTCTAATATTTCTCAGTGAAGATCTTGCGCTCGGTTAGTAAGGTCTTTAAAATGAGGTTGTTGTGGTTGTTCTAACGTCGTTGAGCTTTCATTCTATTCCTAGTATAAAAATGGTTGTTGCCAACCGTTTCCCAAAGTTAACGCGTCCAAATTGGACAAGTTCACAGAGTTTTTGTATGATAAATGTGACGTCGAAATCCATGAACTGATGTGTGGAAATTGGTTGACTAACTACTTCTTGACGAAAACCTGTCCCCCTGCTGCCTTACAATGGATACTTCATGTCATGTGCTATCATTTGGATTCTCACACTGTCAGAGCAAGCTACAATGTGATGTGGTCTATTTTACATGTGAAGGAAAACAAGGTACAGCTTTCGTGCTCTATGTCAGTTTGAGTTCTTTAGGTCATAGCTCAATGAAGGTCTTCCTTGATGAAAAGAAAAACCCGGATACTCTCTTCATTCTTAAGGTATTTCTGTTGGGGCGAGGCGTCAATCCGCCAGTGAAGGCACGATTAGCGATATTATTGGGAAATGCACATTCTTAGGTGATAGTGTTGTATTATTCGCCAAATTGAAGTAAACATATGAGTCTAGAGTATTTGCAGTCTCGGCACTTAGACTGGGACGAACTTTTGCTTTGTACTTTATTTATGTTTTCTTTTTGTTCAATGTTAATAAGCAGTTATTTCGTCGTTTTTTAAAAAAGTAACTCTTCTCTTTCAGAAACTTTCTTGGGTACCAAGTATTCAGGACATAGTAAAGGTTTTTCAAAATTATGGATTCGATTTCCATTCATTATTCGAGAATAACGAATTTGTTCAGTTCGAAATGGTGTCCGACTTGAATTCAAGCCCAGAAAAAAATCGTTCTGAGTAAGTAGATATAATTATTCGAACGTGTTGCATGTTATTTTAAATTCAACGGATTTTGTGTAAGACCATAAACTGCAGTTAATCACTCCGTTTTTTTATACTTCTTACTATTTATATTACATTTACTAGCTATTATCGTATGTATTTGTGCTAAGCCATTTTCTTTGTAATATATTTTTATGTTTTGCGATGTGAAACATCCCCCCCCCCCAAGACATATCCTCGTATGTCTCTTTTTAATTTTGTTAATGTCTAGTTTTTCGTTATTTTTTAGTGAACGTCTGGAATCTTCATTTTTTCCTCTCTCGAACCTCACTCGATTTGTTCAAGTTGTCACCCTCTGTATGAACCGTTATCCACAAGAATATTCAACACAAGATATTGAATACTTATTTGCTCTATTGTATTCTCTTGCTCTTGACTCTCGAATGGAGTTATCCATTCATGACATCAAGACTTGTCTCCGGGCTTCGTATGACGCCATTTCATCTAAACTATGGCCAGACGAGGTGAGCTCCTTGTGCGAGAATACAAATTATTCTTAGGAAGTAATGTCAAAACATTAAGAGATGAAAACTGTCTGATTCTGAAAACCATTTTTTATTCCTTCATTTAAATTTAGTTTGCGTTTGGTATTTTCTCCGCTTTTGTAAATTAACTCTAAATCAATTTAAGCAAAAATTCGTCTTTGTTTTAAGGTATGTTTGAAGTTCTCACGACTGTAGTTTTCTTTTCCGTGTGTGGAAGTCCTGATTGGAACACGGGCATCGACCAATCAGAGCACGAGTTTTGATTGTGTTATTTAATAATATTATATCTGTTCAACGTACGGCTGTCACCTCGTGCAAATCACAAACTGAAACGTTTTGTAACATTGTTCTCCCCATTATCGTTGCCAGCCCCACTTTTTACTCTCAATTTGTAAACATTTTTGCGTTAACTGCCCGTGAGAACAATACATTTCTAAAGAAATTAGTAATGGTATGTAATTGTTTAAAATTTACATAGCGGAAGTAAACCTGCATGTAGGCTACGCTACTGGTTCTACCTACTAGTATTTTCTCGACGATTTGCTTGCCAATATTCGCTTCACGCATTGTCGATAAATCACAAGGGCTGTAAATTAGATTATCAATTAAAGATTTACAAATTTTATAATCAAAAATCTTATTTACGTTCTCACGTGTTGGTTATGTTGTTGCAGCTTAAGAAATTACAAAATCTCCGACCGGAAGTCACTCGTGCTCATGTCTGCGTACGAGCAGAACCGTGAAAGTCAGAAATTTTGCAGAAAAGATTCGAACAACATTGTGCATAACAGCCAATCTTAAGTTTGAATTACCTACATTATTTGCGACAATAGCAAGCACATTTTGTTGTAAGTTGGCGGAGCTTTGTGCAATTTAGATTTTCCTGCCCGGAAAAGTAAAGATAGGCAAGGCTACGTGTTGAAAAGCACAGATGTCTGCAAGACTGCATCTGTAATGATTTTAACTTGTTTTGAATTTAGTTAAAGAATTAATATGTAGGATTCCTTTCTCAAGTATCCACTTTGAAATAATGCGTTATAAACTGTCAATCAAACATTTAAATTTTTGGGCCATCAATATACATATCCTAAAGATGTGATGAAAATAGAAAGTTATAGTAAAAATTATGCAATGTAAATTTTGTTTTCTCCATAGACTTTGTTTTCCCAGTAGCGTATGCATAGAATCAATCCAAATCTTGAAAAACTCAAAACTAGCGCATGTTCTGTTATTTCTCTGCGGTGTATCGCTCATTAGCTACCGATCTGTATTTCCAGTGTGCATTGTTCGTCGTGTAATTTTCACTCTTCATTTTCACTTTTCACTCTTTCATTCTAATAATCACATACAATAAGTTTTTTTATTTCTTATCTTAGGTGCTGAAAATTTCCTCTCTTATCACCCATATCAACGCACATCATCAGAAAAAGCTGCGGATTATCAGACTTCAACCTTATTCAATGCGAGGACGCGATGTGAAGCGATATGCAGCAATACAAACGTTGTCTTCCCTTTTGAAGAAGGACGAAGTAGTTGATAGTAATGTTTGCGTTCTTTGTGAGGCAAACAAGGATGGTTCCATAACGAATTATTTAGAGGTAATGATTTTGATTTAATGTCAATGAAATAGCTTGATTTCTGTTAAAGCCTCGAGTGGCGATTGAGGTTGGAATAGTTAATCGTTTTATGGACCTTTTGCACTCATGAACCTAAGAGGGCAGATGGAATGGGAAATGGCAAAATGTTTTAAGGCATGAATTTTTTTGCATTCCTGATATACTAATTGATCAAGTAATTTTTTGGTGCGGTGTATATTTGTATATTCAGTTTTTCTCCACTGAGTTCTTTTCATTGCGAATTTGCTTTCAAATGAAATAAGTCGAAGTCAGTTAAATGTACGAAAAATCAGCCGACCCCACCTCACCCCACTCCTAGTTAACGTTGTAGCTACGGACCTGGGCCAAGAAGTTCGACTAGCAGGATATAAGATCAGCTCTTTAGAGCACAATATCTTTTCATTTTAATGCGTCAAAAGCGATTGTTTCTTACCAATTTTCAAAGTTCATTTTTCATTGGTCGAGAGTGCGTCGTTTGAGAGTAAAGGAATTGAACTGTTTCCTCGTAAGTAGCTCAAAAGAATGAGTTATTAAGTTATTGACCAATAGACAATACAAAAAACAAGTTCGTCATTACGTTAAAATGCGACCTTTGCTCGACTTTGGTCAGCGTGTTATCTAGCGCGGAGATTTTTCCAAAGTTTTTTCCAATTTTTTCATTCTTTTATTTATATATTCTTTTGGGAAAGTAAATATTTCGTTTATTTACGTTGTTTTTAGTTTCCTCTTTGAAAATTAGGATATAACAAAAACTTATTAACTGAAATCTGACGAATGCTGTGTGTTTAGCCTCAACTGTCGTTGTTTGCCTTGTCTTTAAAATAATGAAACTAATAAGCTCTTACAAAAATAAAATTATTTACAATAAATGTCAAAATATATACATGTTATTTACCGGTTGGGAGGTCCGTACGGAAAACATTTTTTAAGTACGGATCGACCTAAATGGTGAATAGCATATTAACTTTTTTTATTTTTATTATGAAGAAATTCGCGTTGTAGAATGGCCGATGGCCATATGCAACTTGATATTGAGACTAAAATTGGATTGTTTTCTACAAACTTCGCTTCGTCTATATAGTAAAATTCACTCTTGCTATGATAACTACCGTCTGAATACACTTTGCTTACTCTTTCAACAATTTACATCGCTTTCAAATCAATTTTATAATTTACAATTCACTTCGTAGATAAATACATTGCGAAAACTATCATTCCCGCTCAGGCAGGAAATCAAAAAATATCGCTTTGGACTGCTAAATAAAAAAAAATAAAAAATCGTAAAACATAGAGTAACTACTGATCATTTGAAATTTTAAAATAGACATTTTTTGTATAAAGTTTTCGATATAGACTTGTAGTTTTCGAATAATTTCAGTTGCTTAAAGCGCTAGAATCACTTGTGTCGAACATCGTCGTAAGTGAAGACACTGACTACTACGAGTTATACACATTTGTTGAGCTCTTGGACATCGTTGTTGGTGCGTCGAAGTTGACTTTGTCTGAAAAGGTATTGAATTTTTAATTAGGGAGTGATAAAGTCATAGAAATATTAAGTTAATTCTGAACAGTTCTCATTTGGCCTTATCGAACGTTAAGATATTTTGCATAGTTAAGAATAAATGACGGAAGTACCGTTATTCCAAAAGGTACAACCCTCCCCCCTTAAATAGAAATGTTATGCAAATAAAAAATGTCATCTTTATAGCTACATGTTTGCGTCCACAATAATGATATACTTATCTAATTTATACGTGAACTTCAGTTGAGAGTTGACGAGCTCATCCAAAATAATTTCGTTGAAGCAGTATCGCTAATGCGCATTTAATGTAAACGACGAGTTTTTTGAAAATAGACATTTTTTGACATCATCATGAGATACCTATGAAGAGTTTGTTTTTTTATTTGTGTGTTTTTTCTTTATTCCAGTTTTAAATACGACCTGTCATAGTTAAAATTAAATATTCCCCGTACCTACTATACACATCGTCTGTCGTCATAGCTTTGTATAAATAAAGTTTATGTGGCGTCTGAACTTAGCCTTTACTTAATGCGTTTTGTTGCTGTAACCTTGGTGTGCAAGCATTCCCATCTGAGTGATTGAACAGTGGACTTTTCGCCATGTTGGATGGCATAAATAAAGAAAAATCATCCAACATGGCATCCATGACGTATCTTACACACCAAGAATCGATAAAACTATTTGATGTATGCGTACACGGTTCATGGAAAAATTTATTTTTGGATTGTTTGTTTATAGGAAATAGTTTTGAGACTTCGCGGGAAATTGAGATCCCTTCACAAGGATATTAGAGATCCAAGAGCAATGTTTATAAGTCGTAGTAAGGTATTCACGTATTTGTTACTTATTTTGACACTAACCGTTGAAGAATACACAAAGCTTTGGTCAATGCTAATTATTTTATGTTTCACATTTCTTTACATTTTTAATGAGCACGACGAAAATTCTTCTTTGACAAAAGTTTTTCATCTCGACGAAATCTTGTGACGAAATCTTCTGCAAAACTCTGCTTACTATTATGGTTTTAGGTCTGTTTACCATTAGGGTTTTATTAACAAAACGAAGCTTTGGTCGAGTTTTAATTGTCTTTACAGGATGTTTTTCTTATTATGAACAGAAAGAAATTGTGAGACCACTTTTTATTTAGTTGCACTTTTTGAATTACGAGGTTTTCGTTGAGATAACGCGGGTAAAGTGAAATTCTTTATTGCGTAGTTATAAATAATTTGTTACATTTGTTATCGCTATTTTTCTTTAAAAAAAACTTCGTAGAAAGAACTAAATGTTTTCGTACTGAAGCTCAAAGTGCATATATTATGGTTGGTGAAATAACTTCTTGAGATAGTCAATGGATTTTAAGAACATTTGCATTGTACAAACACAGCAAAAAACACTGAACATTTTGGAAAGCGTAGCCAAAGTCATAAGTGCGCAAGATTTGCAAAAATCTTTTTGGGAAGAGGTAGTGGAACTTATAATGGTTCGTTTGACATTAAAATTATTGCAAAAACAACAATTTTTAGAATAAAAATTGTGTTACTGAGAAGCACTTTTGAAATAGCTTGCGCACGAAATTGATGCAGCTAAAAAGCACTTAGAACACATAGGGTTAAAATGTTGTGGAAGCCAAGTGGTTTTAGGAAATTTTATTGATTAATACGCAAACGCTTAACTTTCAAATTGCAACTTATTTTGAATATTTCGTTTTTCAATGCCATCTTCTATTAATGTTCATAAATTATACATAAATTTAAGCTTTAAATTAATCCAAATATGAATAATTGATGAAGGTTTAAAGAAAATGGCAATAAATAAGGGAAACCGCAAAATAATGTGCTATTTTGATGCTTAGCGTTCGTGCACGGTTTGGTCAAATTTCCTGAAAGTTTGTAAGCTTGAACAACATGTGCCATATTTTAACCCTATGAGTTCCAATTGCTTTTTAGTTTTGTCATTTTCGTGCTCAAGCTATTTGAAAAGTATTTCCTGTTGACACAATTCTCACTCTAAATATGGTTATTTTTTGCTAAAAGTTTAAAGGGGAAGTCAGACCCCAAAAAAACTTTTTATCAAATGAAAGATTTTATTTTTACAAACCATATTCCAAAGTTTGAAAGCTCCAATCAAAATTATACCGGAGATATGAAACCACAAAATCATGAAATTTTGCTGTAAAAGCTGCAGCCATTGTATACATGCGAGTGAAGCCGCGATCGAGCAGCGGTTTCCGTTCTTGACGTCACTGCGCGGTGAGCGCGGTAGCGCTCAAAATTTCATATACAAAACAAACACAAAGTCTTCGATGCGTATTTCTTTCTCGATATTTATTTTCCTTTCTTTATAAATATGCCTTACTGTATGGTACCCGGTTGCACTAATTGTTCAAAAAAAACCAAAGGAAGTGAAATATCTTACCATCGCTTGCCAAATGATCAATATACTCGTAAAATGTGGCTAGAGCGAATTCGACGTGATAATTTGCCTAAACCTAATTCATGCTATGTGTGCAGCGCGCATTTCACGCCAGATTGTTTTGAAGGTTCCCTGAAAGATTTATTTGGAATGAAAGCAAAAAAAGCATTAAAACCCGGCAGTGTCCCTTCAATATTCCCCTTTCTAAAGCGTAAACCAGAGCGGGAATCCTCAAGTAAGAGGCAGAAAAGAAAAGCGATGCAAGAGGTAGCCCATTAATGTTATTTTTACAGAATAATTTTGATATTATTTATCTTGAGCATGAATAAGTATGTATTGATATATATAAGTGAGATCATTATATTAAAATTTTCTTTGAACATTACACTTGAAACATTTTTAATTAAATGAATCTAAATTCCACAATGTGCAGGAATTAGCCAGTATGCTTGAACAACCCAGTGATGCTGAAGACTCTTCATTCACATTGTCCATGACCATGACTGAGATAGAGCCAGAAATAGATACTTCAGCTGGAAGAAGTGTGGCAATACTATGTGATAGTGATACTCCAAGTAGTGTTGATGCTGAAACACAGTGTGAAAAGATTTCAACACGCAGTATTGGAGTTCAGACACTGGCACAGAGGAAAAAGCCAAGAAGAAAAATAAAATACAGTAACTTTTCAAAAACCTCTAGTCCCATGAACAATAGTGCACATTCAATGTCAAACCTACCATTAGCTTCTGTTGTTATACCACCAATCATGCATGACATCACCCAGGTTGAGAATGCATCATGTGGGGAAGATAATTGTTCAGAGCATGAGGAGACTGTGAATACCATAGATAAAAGCTCAACTGAAAGTGATCTGTCAGATGGTAGTGATGAAGATTATGTGTGTTCTTCACCAAGTTCCAGCAATGAATCGGATGATGATAAGCAAAACACAGAGAGAAAATTCATTGTTTTTGAAAGAAAGCTAGATGAGTTGTTCATATCATGCAAATTTTGTTCTTCCATATGTGAGATTGAAAAATCTACAGTGGGTAGCATGGTGATGTACAAGGCAATTTGCCATAAAAATCATATCTTCAAGTGGAAGTCACAGCCTATGTTGCACAATAAACCAGCTGGAAATGTTTTGATACCAGCAGCAACAATCTTTACTGGTTCAACATATGAGCCATTGAAGCAATTTGCAAATGCTTTGAACTTAGGTTTTGTGAACAAGGACCAGTTCTATAATATGCAGGATGAAATTGTCTTTCCAGTGATTAATAGCACCTATAGAAAACAGCAAAAAACTATAATAGAAAAATATACCAAGGCAGACATACCAATAGATTTATGTGGTGATGGAAGATGTGATAGTCCAGGTCACAATGCAAAGTATGGCACATACACGCTGATGGAAGAAAACAGTGGGAAAATTGTTGATTTTTCTTTGATACAGGTATCTGAAGTGTCTTCTTCCAATGCAATGGAGAATGAAGGTAGCCAGAGATCTTTGAATAATGTCATGGGTGAAAAATCCAAATTAGATCATTGACCACAGATCGCCACATCCAAATAACATCAGAGCTGCGGAAAAATATCCTCATATTATTCACCAATATGATGTATGGCACTTATCTAAATGGATAACAAAAAAGCTTACCAAAAAAGCAAAAAAACATGCTTCCCTTCAAAAGTGGATTCAGTCAGTGTCGAACCATCTGTGGTGGTGTGCGCAAACATGTGAAGGAAACGCTGATATTCTATGTGAAAAGTGGGTGTCTATTTTGAATCATGTTATAAACATACACCAATGGAAAAGTGGTAAGTATTTTAGGAAGTGTTCACACGAGAAGCTTTCTAGGAGGAGAGAAAGAAAGACGAAATGGTTAACACCAGGGTCTGCAGACTACATTGCCTTAGAAGATGTTGTTTTGAACAAGAAATTGTTGAAAGACATAACAAAACTTACAGAATTCCATCACACTGGCAACCTGGAAGTGTACCATTCATTACTATTGAAATATGTTCCAAAACGCCTTCATTTTTCATACAATGGCATGGTTGCAAGAACCCAATTGGCTGTGATTGATCATAATTCAAACACTGAAAGAAAACAAGCTCAGTTGAAAATGGCAATTCCAGATACAAAATAGTTTTTCCAAAAGGCCGTAATAAATGGATAGCCAAACCAATAACAGAGAACAAATCATTTTCCTTTGTGCAAAGCCTAATGGAAAATGTTGCCTCATATGACCATCAAATTCCAACAGCAAGGTTAAGTAACATTCCCAAAAACATTGTAAATGTACCCAAGCCAAGTAAAGAGGAAGTGATATATGCTCATAGGTCAAGGATGGGCAAGAAAAAATAATGAAACTATACCTGCATCACTCATCAGCAAATTCAAAACCTTCAAATACAAAATCTTCTTCTAGACCAGGTGGAGGGAAATATGCCCGAATACAACAAACAGCACAAGATGGCAAAGTATTCCTTATTTCTTTTCCCAAAATTCCCCAACACCATCTTACAAATTGTCTGTAAGCAACATGCCTTTGCCTCTTATGCTCTGGTCCTTCAAAAGCACTTTTCCCATACTGCTGCTTGTATTGACTCCACGCCAATCTCAATACCCAGTAATTTAAACATAAATTTTGGAATACAGGGTTGTCAGTGATACATTCTGGAACATCAATACCCTCGAATTCAGCTGACTCTTCATTAATATCCCTGCAAGCAGCAATCTCTTTGCAACATATACATTCTTCATGTCTGTCCATTATTTGACAATGACCGCATGTACACCTTGAAAGAAGAGTCATTTACGGATTTGACTTTGGCGTATATTTCGTACACTTAATGAAAAAAAAAATCAAATATTTGTAGATAACTATTACCAGTACTTATCTTGAAGTCTATTTGAGCCAGATTCAATTGAAGACTCAGCACTCGTTCCTTGCGAATCGTCTTCGGCGTCGCTACCCGAGTCGGTTTCAACCGGTTCATATGAGTAAGGCTGAATCATGTTTTCGTACGCCATTATTTGCTCATTTTCCGGAAATGTATCACTCACAACAGAGTGATCACTTGAAAATTCGTATGAATCATTCGTATCCATCACGTTATTTATTAAGCAAGTTTAAAATGATAAATACAGAGAGCTTTCACAAATGATTATGTGTTATGTGATGTTGATTGAAAGTTCCTTACCGCGCAGTGACGTCAAGAACAGAAGCCGCTGCTCGATCGCGGCTTCGCTCGCATGTATACAATGGCTGCAGCTTTTACAGCAAAATTTCATGATTTTGTGGTTTCATATCTCCGGTATAATTTTGATTGGAGCTTTCAAACTTTGGAATATGGTTTGTAAAAATAAAATCTTTCATTTGATAAAAAGTTTTTTTGGGGTCTGACTTCCCCTTTAATGTCAGATGATCCATTGGAAGTCTAACTACCTATTCCATTAAAGGTTTTTGCAGATCTTGAGCGCTTAACACTTTAACGCCGCTTTCCTATCTGTTTAGTTTTTTTTATATACACCCTTTACTTGATAGTTAATCTTCTCGCACTTTTGTGACGTAAAAAAGAGAACATACCATTAAAGATATGGCTTTCATTATACCGAATAAAGTTTTTTTGAGCAAATCGTAAAAACTGCACTACAAATTTAAGATGGTGTAGGAATATTTTGACGACGACATTTCAGCAAATATTCAAAGAAAACGTTTAAAAATAACTATGTATTCTTGTTTTTACGCGACGAACGGTGCAGAGTCACCTATCTTTTGGCCACAAAAACCAATGAAAATAAAAATTTTGTTTTATCACATATAATACAAGTGTTTTTTAATGAATCTAACTATCACTACAAGTTATGTTCCTTACCCAGATACAGTAATAAACACACTCCAAAAAACATCATCTTGTAAACTCAAGATTCGAGTTATGAAAGCAAGAGACAAGATTCAAAGCAACATTTCGACTTTATTTCAAAGTCATTATCAAGCTAAGTGATTATTTATAAGCATCCGTGATCTTAAATAGGTGCTACAAGGAAATGACGTAAGCAATGAAAAGAAAGAAAGGCGATGAAAGGAGGTGTTACTGTCCAGAATTACATCGATGAAATTAAGAAAAAATAGTTCTTTATAAGCTTTTAGTCCAGAATTTAGCTGAGGCTTTTTGAAACGTATATAAATCGCCTCTTGGAAAAGCAAAACATTAGAATTGTTATGATGAAGACAGTGTAAAATGTTAGTGTTATTAAGAATGAGATCATGGGTGGAAAAAGAATGCGGTGAATTTATGTCATTAATTGTATCATATGTGTTGTGCGTCATGGCAGTTTGTTAGATGGTCATGTATGGCGCTTTTGTTGGGTTCGGATTTTGTGTGTTCATTTAGTCTAGTAAGAAGGCTTCTGTTAGTTCTACCTATGTATGACTGTCAGCCTGGACAAGTAAATTCATAAATTAAATTGCTGCGATCCATAGTTGGTATTTTGTCTTTTTTGGGAAGGAAATATGATACTTTCTTTGTTTTGTATATCACTATAAATTTCACTGGCTCTTTTGGATTACGTTGTAATTTGCTTATTAGTGTTTTAACTAAGGATTCCCCTTGCCTACCTAAATACGGAATCCTCAGCCAAACTTTGCGGCAGTGTGAGTCTTGGGGTTTGCTTAACACTGGAGGATCATTATTGATGAAAGTATTTCTTTCGTGTTTTTCTCGGAGCCTTCACATAATAGAACGACGAATGGCATTAGGCCATTCCAAGACATATATTTAGTGATATTGGATAGTTGCAGTGCTGCCACTCTGTGTATGCACATTTCACCTACCAAAACTTTATTTTCCCCCTACTTCCCCCTACTATGATTTTCCTTGTTTTCCCCTACTTTTCCCCTACACAACAACATATCCCCCTATTATATACCTACGTTGGGTCGGACTATTGAATTTTTTAGTCTGTTTTTAAAAAATGCATACTAAAAAGGTTTATCGAAAACTAAGAACATCTAGACGACAAAGTTAGAATTTGACATAGGAAGTAATGACATGCAGCTGGCGCAAATGACACACTGAGTTTATGCAAAGTTGCTGATCTTCTATTGCCATATATGGTCGCAAATTGTGCAAAAAGAAAGATTCTGTTACAATCACTTGCTAAATGGTGAGAACATAGGAAGAAAAGAGTATTTTGGGCAAAAATGAGGCTCATTTTTAAACGATTTTCTTTTCTCCCTACAACCCCCTACATTTTACAGTTTTCCCCGTAGGTTTCCCCTACCACCTACAAACCACTAAATCCCTCTACTGTATGGGATTTCCCCTACGAGTGGCAGCACTGGATAGTTGTTTGTTGAGGAGGGTTGTATTACTGCAAATTGTATTAGCCCGGAAGAAAAGAGATTTGGTCCAGGCAATTTTGCGACACCAAGGTTCAAAACTGTCCATGCGTGTATATTGACCGGTTGCTTCGAATCTTGTCTCGTGCTTTTATAACTGGAATTTTGAGTTTACAAGATGATGTTTTTTGGATTGTGTTTTTTCCTTTATTTTTTGAAATTATCTGCTGGAAAAGGATTACCCTGATACAATCACGCTTTAACTCTTCGTTGCGTTATAAGTATTGCCAACTGGTAACCGAGGTTAGTTTTGGAGTGATGACTGTTAGTTTAATAATAATGATGACTTCCGAGAGAATCTGTGTATTGTCTCAGCGCTCTGTCTGGCAAAAAGAACGTTCACTATGTTATTTTGCTAGTAAACATACTGCTTGCATTATTTTTTCAAGAAATCATACCCAAATGTTATCCAGAGCTGTACTTTTTTTGAAATTGAGCGAAGGCTAGTGCATGCGAGTATTTAAAACGTCCAACAATAGAAAAACTTTCTAAAAATATTTGAAAATCTTGTTTGTCCACCACCATGTCAACTCCAAATTTATAACAAAGTTTGTACATGATGATAAACGTCTCTCCTTCATGTGCTCGATTTTGATGTGGCATAACTACATTTATGTATAACACAACAATTAAGTCATGTGTTCGACTGTGTTCGAGTGATCTACTTTAATACTAATTATATATTCTTCTTTAATTTGTCATATGTTTGGCTTTCAAGTTCAAAAGAACTCTTCCTCTGAACATGTACTGTTTTTTCAACTTCAGTATAGAAGACGTGATTTCTGTAACAGGTTTATATTTTCTAGGTAAAGGATTTATTGATTCGAACAATGTGGAAATTTGCCTACATGACTCAAGGCAAGAAAGGATTAAAGAACCAGGTAATGTATTATGAACTAGGTCATTTTTGGATCATATATTTGTTCCCTTCACAACTCATCTATTTCCCATTCATTTAAACGTCCTCTTTGTCGATCTTACATCTATGGACGTTGCCACATCCGGATACCGGCATCCGATATCTGGTAATATAAGCCCATTCGGCAATATACGATATCCTGTAAACTTTTGCCGCATAATTGCCAGACAGTGGTGAAACTCTTATCATTATTTAGGAAACAGATTGCAGAATATTTTTTTGTCTAAAACATAGATCTGTGTTTTAATCTCACTCGCTCTTAACCGGAGGGCTGCTAGCGAAGTGATATGTTTGCCAACTATGGAAATATTTGTTGTGTTAAGATGATGTCAACACGTTGCAATGTTAACATTTGTATGATAATGCAGCTAAAGAAAACAGCTATAGAAATTCAAGGCTTAGGAGAAGTGTTATGCTGATTTGTCCTCCTCAGTACTCTTTGTGGTAGTGTAAAAAACTCTCATATATAAATACCGGATGGAAACATCTTTTCTCGGCGAACATCCCGTTCTGCTTTCCCATGTACAGCATCTAGAAGTTTTTCAGCAAAACTGTATCATAAGGAGAATTTCGATTCTATAACGTGTGATGTCATAACCTGCCTCTTGGTTGATCAATTTGAAATCCCCAACATTGACAATGCTTTAGATTTTTTAAAATTATTTCAACGTATAGAGTTTTTTCGAAAGGCAACCTGAAAGAACACTTTATAGCCGTTTACTTGTAATGTTTATTTTTAGGAAGTCATCACTAAGTTCTTCGTCGAAGGCAGTTCCAGTCTTAAAATCGAAACCCTGGAGAATTCCGAGCTTTGTGAGGAAGACGAGAATGGCGAGCATCAGTCTCAGCTTTCTCAAATGTCTTCCTTCATTGTTGATCCGCTCTCGTACACTGGAGAATATTTCTATGATGAACGTCAGGTCTCTGACTGAAGAATTACTTTAAATATCGCTTCTTTAGTGTAAAATGTTAAGCATTGAGTGTGAATCAAGCAATGATACATAATTTACTTCACGACGATCGCGCATACTGCCGCATTGTTTATAATGTAATAAGAAACTTGATTGGTTTGAATTATTGACGTTTGGTTGATTTTGTACCTGAAGTATAAGAGTAATTTTCTGCCTGCAGAAGAAAAAGTATTTAGTAAAATTCGATCTTTTTATCACTCCATCTTTCGTTTCGTTCTTGTCTATTCTACATTTTGTAGTTTGTTTTTTGAAAAAAATGGGGAAAATGACATAATGCTAAAAAAACGATGCCACGTGATCAGTAGCCTTTCTTTCATTGGTGAATTTTTAATTGAAATAGCTGCGAGAAAAAAATAGTTGAAAAATGTGAACCATCTGCGAGGTCATAAAAAATACTAGTTGCGAGTTTGCGAGCTCTCGCAGCGAGCTGCGAGTTGATTCCTTCGATAGGTGGAAATGAGGCTTAAGACTGTGAGTACGATTTACGTCACTTTGGCGAAAACATTGTTGCGAAAACAAAAACACGTAGCCTTTATCAATCCGAATACGATGTTTTGCAAAAAAATTCGTAATCGCAACTACGATGTCTTTTTAAGCAAAGAAAGTAGGTATATTTCTTCATTCTGTAAGAAATTACTTTATAGTACTATTTTCGAGCATCCAGGCTTTAATTTAGAACCTTTTTTGAGCGCAGATGTACATTAAAAAGGAAAATATGACCTGCAAAACTTTCATGTATTTCGTACGCAAAGTGAAAGGTAAACAAACAATAAAATAGTACAAATATATCGTACATAAAACTTAAAATAGTGAAGATTTTTCAGTCTAAAGAGTACTATATTCTCGCAAAACCAGTATTACTAAGCCTTGTACTTGCAGCATTATTGTTCAAAAACATACACATATCATAATTTTCAATTTTATATTCACCAATTCCATTTTTGCTGCGAAACTGTGAGGCTTTTTAAAATCTCGCGCCTTTACCATTGAGTTCTATAATAACTGGAGCGGCTAACTTTACTGGGGCGAGGACGCCAAAAAAATGGCGGCCAAAGGACGTATTTCCGCTGAAATGATCGCTTTGCAGAAAAATAATATTCTCGACCTCCCCCTGGTGTCTATAGTAAATTATAAAGAATTTTTCAAAAACAAACACGATATCACAGAATATGGATATCGTTAGTTCCATATTCTGTGACGATTCTTTTTTGGCATTTCTTTTATAAGGCAACACTTCAATCGCTCAATTGTTGGATGTCGTAGTTTCCACAAAAAAGGAACATATCGCTTCTCACAGGTGAGGTAGTTGTTTGTTTTGTTAGTCCGTCAACGATTGAAAAGCAATTATGCATCATGCACTTGAAAAGCCATAAAATACATATTAATGATCGTATTTTTTAAGACTGACTTGAACGCCAAATATACTGATGTTTTCTTGTTTTTGTTTATAAAATTCTGCATACTTTTCTGTCATTTGTTGATGCATGAAATCGTAAATTTGCCCATTTATTTGCAAAATAGTTTCCCTAAATCAAAAAAGACCCTGCACACATTTTGCTCTTTGAATAAGTATCAAAAAGAAATGATCAGCCCCAACGCTACACATTATTTGGAGCAGAGCTTGTTATGTTCTATTTCCTGACAACATGCAGGGAAGACCAAGGAGTAAAGATGACTGGAAGATGTTATTCACCAGGCAGAGTCTTAAAAAAATGATAATGCTGTAAAGATGATTGATTTATTGTCTGCCCTATCCCGAGTTATTTAATTTGATCATTGTCAAATTCTGTGGATGGAGACAGTGGATTCACTAAAGATGCCTTGAATGCTTTGGAGTTAAAGTTCATGAACGAAAGAAAGATGGCAAGAAGGTTGTGTGTGTTTTGATGCTTAATGAAATGTCAATTCACAAACATATAAAATGGGAAAGCCATAAAGTTTGTGTCTATGTAAACATTTGTACTGAGATTGATGATGACTTGATGCAGATGGGATGAATCAAACTGTATAAGCCATTGGGTTTTATATAACTTAATGTTTAAATCTTGTCATATCTTTATCAAAATATTTTAGTTGAGTGTTGTTTAAATGTTACTAATATGTAATGCACTATACTGAAGCATTAAAGATTCAGTGATGAAACCTTTAAAATTACTGTACGGTATATTTCTTCATTATTACAGTTTTTGCTTTAAGAAACAGTTTGAGCCTATTTACCTATTAAAGTACAGAATGGAGATTTATCATATGCATTATTGCTGCTTTTCTAAAGAAAAGTTTTTCACTTTTCAAAGCTTTTCTAAAAATTTTTTGCTTTTTATTTCTTTTCATGAAATTGATGATATATGGTTAATATAATCCAATAACTTTATAATTTCTAAAAAGCTTCTAAGCTTCTAGCATAAAAGTACACTATAGGTATGAAATTCATTTGGTTATATTGCCTTGCTATGACATATCTACTTGCACTTCATCATTCTTGTATGAACAAAACACCAGGTGTGGATACTCAGAGAACAAAATACACTACCAACAGCTTATGAAATTTATTATTGAGGTGAAAACTGTGTTAATAATTGAAATTGTGCACTTATATTGCAAATATAGGAAAAACAAAACAAAGTGAAAAAGAAGGGTAGAAGTATTAAAACTACAAATGAATTATAAACACCATTGGAAGGATAAGTGTTTTGATGATTATTTGCATTTTGACCAATTCATATATCAATACAGCAAAATCAAAATGTGCTACAACTTTACAAGTATTTGATGCAGTTGCACTTCAGAACATCACAAAAAGGTTACTTAAAGTAATTTCTATACAATATTGTTTGTTTTCATTTACCAAACCTATGCAGACTTGAGTCTTTTTGAAATTTCATATGAAACTCAATTATAGAAAATCCGTAAATATCCAGAGATTTAATATTTACTTTTTTAAAGAAACAAGTAAAAATCCTACAAATGTGGCGAAAAAAGCCATTGCCCATTGCATGAAAAGAAGCAAATAAGCTAACTTCTCTCTTGTGAACCGTGGAGATGAACTATGATATACTTTTTTGTATAGACTAAAGAGTTTAATCGATCAAACAAGTTTGACGCTGGCAAAAAAACGACACACATCTGCATTCAGACATGTGTAGCCGACATATAGCTCTTTCGTCGATAGTTATAAATGCATCCTCGTAGGAGCAGATAACTGACAACCACAGTTGACTCGCTGTTATGAATTTAAGGTTTTTACCTTGATTTTCATCAAAAAATTGCTTGCCGAATCCCAAATACATACATACATTTTCCTCACTCTTTCCTCAGGAGGGAGTGGGAAATTGTGAAATTTTCGGAAAAGCCGTCAATTTCTTTAAATCTCAGCGGCAACGGACGAAATCCGCCTTTTTCTTGGCGTCATCAGATCTCTAAAGCCGCGCTTGAGATAGCCGCTCCAGTTATTATAGAACTCAATGATCTATACATCTCACACTCAATGATCTATACATCTCACAATTTCTCTCTCCCCCCCTGAGAAAAAGTGAGGAAAAAGTGTATGTGTTTTTCGCATATTTAGCAAGCAATTTTATCATGAAAATCACTGTGAAAACATAAATTTCATAAAAGCGAGTCTAGTGTGGTTCCCAGTTGTCGGCTTCTACGACGGATGCCTTTCTTTAACTATTGACGAACGAGCGATTTGTTGGCCACATATGAATGCAGATGTGCGCGTCGTAACTGTCGTTTAATGATTTGCTCGATTACAGTTTGTAGTCTGCACGAAACAAAATATATCATATTTTATCTCAACGTATCACGAGTGAAATGTTAGCTCATTTATTCTCATTAGTTTTTTGCTGACTTTCATGTGACGACCTTTTTCGCAACAATTCTAGGATTTGTTTTTGTGCATGCATCTCGCGTTTCGCAAATGAATAATGAAAAAAATATTGTATACAAATCGCAATAAGTCGAGAATCTTTGAGATTTTTGTGGTCTTCTGAACAAAAACTGCATTAAATACTTGCCAAGTTGTAGCATATTTGATTTCGTTGTAATGATTGTGAAATGGCGAAAAGCAAATAGTTAAAACACTTAAACTACAATAGTGTTTATAATACTTGAATACATGAATACACAATTGTGTATTTAATGCTTCTCTTCCTTTTCTCTTATTTTATAAGTTTCCTATTAGCCATTTGAGTTCAGAATTTGATTGACTAATACAGCTTTCACCTCAATAATAAATTTTATACCCATGTTTAATACCAGTTGCTATGGGATTTTTCCCTCTAAGTATGCAACATCTGGTGTTGTTTATACAGCAATGATGAAGTGCATGTACTCAAGTAAAAATAAGGCAATAAAACTAGATGAATTAAACACATTTTGTGTTCTTTAATGCTAGAAGCATAACAGCTTTTCAGCAATTATAGAGTTATTAAACTGCACTACCTGTATTCATTCATATTATGAAATGAATTAAGAAGGAAAAAATTGAAGAAAAACTTTGAAAAGTCAAAACATTTCCCTGGATTATTAAAGGAGAAAATAAAGCAAATGGCAAATGTCCATTCTGTAATTTATTAGGTAAATGAGCTCAAAATATTTTTTCTGCAAAAACTGAAATTAAGAAGAAATATATAGCATTGAAGTTTTCATCACTGAATCTTTAATGCTTCAATATGGCATGCATTTTATATAAGTAACATTCAAACACCATTCTATTAAAATAATTCAATAAAGATGTGACATGATTTTACAATTTAGTTGTACAAAAATTGTGCAGTCGCAGTAAGTCATCATCAATCTCAGTATCAATATTGAAACAAGCACAAACATGTTTTTAATTGATCGTTTGTTTGTATTGTAAATAAGTCGTTTGTAAGGTGTCGGTAACTGCTGTGATATGTTCACGGGGGTTGGTTCCAAGTTGGTATACCAACTTTCTAATGTAAGCCGTTGTCTATAGTCAGTACTGTATGTAATGCATTTTGCCGAGTCCCAGCCAATGTTGTGCTTTGTGATTCGGTTATGTTCGGCAATGCGATTAGTTTTGTCTTGTTTCGTAGTAGCTCGTTTGTGTTCAGTAAGCCTTATGTTTAAGTTCCTGCCAGTTTCCCCGATATAGGAGGCGTGGCAATCAGAGCAGTTTATTTTGTAAGCTGCACCTTGTCGTTCGTCAGGTTGTTCTTTATCCTTTATGTTCGTTAG